AGAGACGTACAGTTCCATCGCCAACATGAACATAATGGTATTGTAGGATGAAAAAGGCAAATCAAATCAACAAATATATCTTTATCAAAGGGTTACATATTTTAACACCTGTTAGTGTAATATACCTATTTGAACACCTCTTAGTGAAAATTGAACAATCAAAATCCTCTCATATAAATGTGGAAATCATTAGTTTAAATGAGTCGTGGCATGAATGCCATGGTGACTTCCATTAGATCAAAATGAATAACTGAAAATAACAATTATATTGAGCAAAAAAAACCCTGAAATGAAATAACAATTAAATAAAATGCAAGCAACCATTGAAAATTGAACAATCAAAAAAAATCAAAAACTTTGGAAATGCACCTGTTCTTCACAAATTTTTTTCTATATTATTTTATACTACCAGTACAGAAATTAGGACAACTTCACTTTTACTTTTCGTGTATGAGGGTCGTCAAACTCAACTTACATTTATAGTTTCCAACAAGCTCTTGAAGCAAGCACCTAAATTGATTGCTACGTACATTTGATTTCGATTAGTTAGGTTACTAACGAGTTTCGGAGTTTCCCAATGATGAAATAAAAGCTATTGCGGAAACAAATTTATTCCAATTTATTTATATACAAAACAACTACACGACACATCCTTTTCTTTTTCTCTTCTTATACCACCATGATTCCTATAATGAAATGATGGATGTGTAACTGATCTTACTGGTAGGCAATCCTCTATAGACCTTTTTTGGCAGGTACATCGAGGCGCGGCACTTTCCTAGGAGGTTCTCTATCTGATTCCTCTTCAATCAAGGGTCTCTTCTGTCGCACTGAATCACGCATCCATGTGTCACCAATTCTGCAAAACCTAATTTTTTTACGATATCCTCGCATTACTCTCGGTTTGTCAAAACATGTAGATTTCTGGCACTCAACATTAGATGGTCCACCTTCTACTCTTTGAAGTCGACTACTTCCCTTTTCCCGGTTTCTGTCTTCCATATCTGCCATATTCTCTGGTTCTGGAGAGAAAAGCCTGCTCAACTTTCTTTTCAGCCTAGCACCATGGTCAGATTCATCTTCGAAAGTTGGTATGACTTTGTGTGGGGGCCCTCTAGGTGCAAAAGACATCGACGATTTGACTCCTACATCCTGAAGCCTACCACTTCCCTTTTCCAGGTGTCCGACTTCTGTCCTCTTCCGCAACCCTTGCTCTTTCCTAATATCTGTGTTAGGTCTAGATCCTCCATGATTTCTATAATGAAATGATGGAAGTGTAGCTACATGCTCCCGTAATTCTCTCTTAGGGTTTGGTTCGGTTCCATTCCTCACGTCACGACATCCAGATTTCTGATGCCCCATTTCCAGTGTCTTACTGGATGTTACTATGAAGAGGTCCATTTTTGAAAGCTCATCTTCAAAACTAGATTTGGCTCCTTCTAGGCGCTTCGCAGGCGCAGTAGAAGTTGATGAGTCATCTGTCATTTTCTTAAGTCGACTACGTTTCTTCTCTGATTCTTTTGCTTTAGACTTCTCCTTCATTCCAGGGTCATAGTTCGGTACTATTGTTTTAGATTTCCCATCAGACACTTTGGCCTTCTTACAACATGAAGACTACTGAGTTTCCTCCCCTAAATTTGATTCGCGCTTCTCAGGTGCGAAAGAAATTGATGGTCGATCTTCTATGTTCGCAAGTCGACCACCATCCTCTTTCTGGTGTCTGTTCCTTGTCTCTTGCAACTGTCGTCCGTTCACTATATTTGATTCATGATCCGTGTCTGGTTCAGGAGAAAAAAGTCTCTTTAACTTTTTGTGTATTTCAGCGTCACGATCCTTTTTTTTTGTATTAGACTGTCCATCAGACACTTTGCTCGTCTTCTGACTCCCATTTCTCGATTCAGTCGATGGACGGCTCTTTCCTGTATTTTGTTGAAATACACGCCCTTTCTCTTTATCATGGTCCGGTTCCCTTGTTTTAGACTTGCCATCAGACTCAGGCGCAAATGACATCGATGATCGATCCTCTTTTTTCTCAAGCCGAACACTAGCGCCTTCTTTTTCCGGTTCAGGAGAAAATAGTCTTTTCAACTTTTTGTGAATTTCAGCATCACGGTCTGCTCTTCTTTCTGAATTTGATTTGGCTTTGTGTAGGGGCCTCTCGACTCCAGAAGAAACTGAGGATCTAACTCCCGTTGTCTGAAGTCTACCACTGTCCTTTTCCAGGTGTCTGTTCCTTGTCTCCTGCAACTGTCGTCCGTTCACTATATTAGATTCATGATCCGTGTCTGGTTCAGGAGAAAAAAGTCTCTTCAACTTTTTGTATATTTCAGCATCACGGTCCGGTTTTTTTGTATTACACTTCCCATCAGACACTTTGCTCGTCTTCTGACTTCCATTTCTCGATTCAGTCGATGGATGGATCTTTCCTGTATTTTGTTGAAATACACGTCCTTTCTCTTTATAATCATGGTCCGGTTCCCTCGTTTTAGACTTGCCATCAGACTCAGGCGCAAATGACATCGATGATCGATCCTCTTTTTTCTCAAGCCTAACACTAGCGCCTTCCTTTTCCGGTTCAGGAGAAAAAAGTCTTTTCAACTTTTTGTGAATTTCAGCACCACGGTCTGCTCTTCTTTCTGAAGTTGATTTGGCTTTGTGTGGGGGCCTCTCGACTGCATCGCTTCCCACTTGGTCAGATTTTAAAAAATTCCTAAAGGGTCGCGCGGATTTGTTAGAAACTTTAGAGAAAAACCGGGAACTTAATCTTAAGCACACTCATTCTCTAAATCAAAAAGGCGGTGTTGGTGGGCCATTTAAACAAAGGGGTTCACAAAATGTAAAGGGGCTATTTACAAGCAATGTTCGGTGCGCACTGTGTGGAAGGGAACACATACATACATAACGGCTCCCATTCCCGAGCCGTTACATTATCCAATTTTGTCGCAATTAAATGAATAATTAAGGTATCCCAGTGATCAGTGGGTTGTTTGAGTTTCGATATAGCGCTGAGATTTTTCGAAACCCTATCAATTAAATTCCTGATTTCCGCGGAAGATTCTTTTCTAATACATTCCACGACGTAACGTGGTTAAGGACTAACAAACGCATATTGTTATACTTCTCACATAAAGCCTTCCAAGCTAAAGTATAATTATCGCTAGAAAATTCAAGTGTATTCACGACTTCAGTGGCACTTCCCTGTGGGGACGGTCTTAAATAATGAAATTTTTCAATTTCTCCTATAGCATTATTTCCGTTAATCAAACTTTCGAATGTGTCACGAAACTCTGACTATGTGTCGTAGTCGCCACTAAAATTGGGTAGAGATATAATGGGTAATTTTACCGGAACACTAGCTTGACTACCGATATTATTGTTAGCTCGATTGTTACTTGCTACGGATCTCTGAGAAGCATTGTCGTCATCTGTTTTAGATACTAAACTTCTAGCGATAGCGGTCAAAGAATAAAAACTAGATTCAAAAGATTCTCGCTCTGCGAGCTGTTCATCACTGTTATCGGTAGCATATTCTAATGAACTCTGTATACTATCAAATTCTTCCCATAAAGATTCAATTCTATTGGTTCTTTGTTCTAACTCTATCAAATCAATATCATTCAAAGAGGGTTTATCTTTAATTTGTTCTATGAAATTCTTAAATAATGTTATTTTTGCCTTTAATCCTCCTCTTTTCCTTTTCAAAGAAGTTATTTCCGCCTCATTACTCATTATGCAATATCAATTCTCAACGGTACAACAAATAATTCCTTGCTAATTCAAATATCACTCAAAGTGAAAGGAAATAGCTTGTGGTAGTTTAAAGGTGTAGTTTAAAAAAATGTGATAAATATGTTCATTCTATCCAGACGACTTTCTTTTAGTTTCTCAACGTGTAGGATCCGAATTCATTGCGCAGAAGATTCTAGAATTTAGCTGCGGGTACAAACTGAAGAACTGTGTTTAGGAATGACCAGCACCGACCTGTTTCTAGTGAAAAAGCTGTTAATATTCGAGAAATAATTCACTTTTTTCATTAAATAATGTGACATTCCGGTGTTCAAGACTTTGTGGGTGTTTGTGAGTAGGTGCAGTGTCCTGAGTTTCACTAGTTGCGGCCAACCTGATTTCTTCATGACCGGTGGGTCGTATTTTCGAATGTCAAAAGAAAAACGAAGGCAACTGCTTAGAATTCGTTGAAGACAGAGGTAATCAAATTGAAGTATAGCAGGATCATAAATGCTATCGCAATATAAGACTTACATAATTTCAGTTTGAGTTGTTGATTAAGTCCCGATTTTGGAACAGTTGCTTCAAGTTATCAAAAGACGTTCGGATAAAATGGCTAACGTGTTTTGTAGAGCGCACTTCAGAATCAAAACACAGGCCTAAGTTCTTGACATCAGTTACAAAAGGCAGAGAATGTCACCATTTATATGAATATGAAGACTATTTTTGCAATATCTCGCAATCTTTTCGGTCCAAAGATCATTACTGCCGACTTTTTGGAGTTCAACTTCAATTTACGAGCTGATAAAATATCAAACATGATCTGTAAATCACTATTGATGAGGTTTTGAGCGGAAAGTACGTCAAGACATTCAAATACGTTTATGTGTTGAATACAAACAATGTATTTATGCACGAAACAATTATTTATAACGAACAAAATAACTAAAAGACTACAACCTCCACTTTCCAACGAGCTATGAAAAGTTACAACCAATAAAGATGATCATGAAAATGGTATTATCAACAAGATCCTAAAAAGAAACACGTGTTTTTACTTTGATATGGTTTCTCTAACTCATATCTCAACTGTAGATGTCCTTATTCAGTCTTTATTTCATAATCCATATAGTATAATATAATCATCAACCCGAAATGTGTTGATTGATAGTGATTGATTATTATTTCAATAAAGAACTGTTTCAGTGAATCAAATACAAACCACCATATTCAATTATGTAATACTGAACTATTGTAATTTCTGGAATTAGATGAATGATTAAATCTGGTAAACCTAGGTAGATTTTAAAATAACCATACAGTATTACTTCTAGGAAAACAGATAAAATATTTGCATTTTATGTCAAAACCTAATTAAATGATCAATTCTGACAAAACAGATAGATTCAGGAGACACAATTAAGACAATATTATTTTTAGGAAAAGAGTTTTGAGTTGTCGTACTGGAGAAAGTGACAATAAATCAAGAATCACTTGGAATGTGATAAATACTCTCAACAACAAGGCAGGAAATAGCAACACCGTTTTCTCTAATACTCATGGAGACAGGGTAAATCTAGCAAATGATTTTAATGTCCAGCTATCGAGAGTAACAGGTAAAATATATGATGGAATCGGCCGATACTTGATGAAAATCCATAACTAACGTATTCCAAAAACACTTTATTGTGAGATTTTCACTAAATTGTTTTACAAAAACGCAACACGTGTTTCGCCATACAATGGCTTCATCTGGCGTGTCTTTCAACTGAGTTTATCAATAATTTTAGCGTCATCAAATTTACTTAAAATGTATCAATTTATGAATTAAGAACAAAAATGAGCCAACAATGACATTTTTCCTCAAGTTTATCAGCCCTAGCATCTTACAAACTGAAAATAAACCAGAAATTGTATGGTTATTTCAATTAAGTTTTTTCATTATCAATTGTTCATATTTATTTCTTTCCATTTAGGATTATTATCTCGTCTGATGATAAAATAAAAGCTATTGTGGAAATAAATGAATTTCAGTTTATTCATATACAAAACAACTACACAACTACTACCTCGTTTCCCTTCCCCTACTACCTCTTATCCTTCCTTTATACCCCGGCTACCTCTTTATACCAACCACCATGATTCCTACAATCTCCTATAGACAGGTATATCGATGCGCGACACTTTCTTAGGAGGTTCTTCACCTGATTCCTCTTCAGTCAAGTTTCTCTTCTGCCGCACTGATTCACGCATCCATGTGTCACCAATTCTGAAAATCCAAACTGACTCCCATTTCCCGATTCAGTCGATGGGCTGCCGACGCGGTCCATCCTGGAAAGTTTACCTTCCAAATTTGATTTGGCTTTATGCATGGGCTTCTCAGGTACAGTGGAAATTAATGACTTATCTGTTACCCTCTGAAGTCGACAGCTTTCCTTTATCTTTTCTGTATTTTGCTGAAATACACGTCATTTCTCTTTATAATTCATTTCAGTTTCAGGACCAAAAAGCCTATCCAACTTTTCGTTCATTCCAGTATCATGGTCCGGTTCTTTTGTTTTACGCTTGTCATCAGACTCAGGTGGAAGTGAAATTGATGATCGATCGTCTGTTTTCTTAAGCTGATCACTATCGTCTCCCAGATGGATGTTCACTGTCGTCTGCTGTAACTTTTGTTCTTTCACCAAATCTGCTTCAAAATCCTTTTCTGAGACTCTTCAACTTTTTGTTTATCTCAGCACCATTTCTTTCTAAAGTTGATTTGATTTTGTGTATGTACCTCTCGGGTCCAGAAGAAATTGATGATCGAATTCCTATATTCTGAAGTGGACCACACCCCTTATCCAGGTGTCTGAGTTCTTTTATCAATTCCCGTATTCTCCCTGACTCTCTCACGATTTTTGTTAGCCTCCAGTTCCAACTCCTGTGCAGTTCCTGTTTCTCTCAACCCCTCTTTAGACTCATTCTTTCAAGCTCCCCCGCACTAGATCAAAAGAAATATTTCGACAATTACATTTCAAATGTCGAGCAGACGTAGTATAAATTTCAAAAGTTTTTGAAGCACTCACGATATAGCAAAATTATTTTCAAATTTTTTCACAGACGTTTATGTTGATGAACAAAATACATTTTCTTAGACTCAATTTACTAAAAGAATAATACTTCTAATTCATCACAAGAGTAAAAGTCGAACAAGGTTGAGAAGAAAATTGGATTTGATAATTTAGGAAACACTTGCTACATGAATAGCATTTTACAAGTGTCGTTCATGACGAAGAATTTCAAGAATGATTCTTTAACGATGAACGAGAATGTTTCTTACTTGCTTTGTCTTGAATTCTCAATACTCATTTATCTAATCCGTTGCTGGTATCCTCGAATTATTTTTGATTTGTCAATTATCTCTCGACCCACCCTTCTTTCCTGCCCTCATGTTCTTTCGTCTACCTCCGATTCCTCGATGATTCATATCTGATGGTGGACGTGTACCTGCTGTCACTGGTAAGCAATCTTCTATAGACCGTTTCTTGGCCGGTATAACGACGCGCTGCACTTTACTAGGAGGTTCATCATCTAATCCTTCTTTGATCAAACATCTCTTTCGCCGCACTGATTCACACTTCAAACTGTCATCCATTTTGTGAATCCCATCCCTTTGGGTACCGTACAGCTTTTTCAACCTTTCGATCAATCCAGCACCTGTGTCTTCCTCCTCCGGACCATAAAGCCTTTTCCACTTTTCCATCAATCCATCATCTATGTCTCGTTGAAATTCACCTCCCTTCTCCCCTGGT